TACACTAAAAAGTAGGGGAGAGTGGGGAAAGATGCCCAGGGTTTGACTATGTCATATATTATTCGAAAATGACGATCGGAAAGCCAAAACTTGGAGTTTCAACGGAAGCCGACATCATTTTTCTCCAAAAATATCACACTTTCGAGCCTGAAATATGATAACTTTTTTTTGCTATTAAGCATTTTCCTGAAGAAGTGAAAGGGGGCATCTTACCCCACAGGGTGGAAAAGACGCCCCCTGGCGCTGGGTAAGATGCCCCCTGCACTAAAAGTGACATAAATAGGCACGTGAATCGCCTGAACGAATCAGTAGTCCCTTCGAGCCTGCAGTAGACACCAAACGTCATCGTAAGGGCCCTCAAAAGTAGTCGTAAGGGGCTTCAGAGGTCATCGTTAGGGCCATCATAGTCCAGCGTGGCCAAACAAGCCTCCGTGGTGGCGTTCGGAGACCACTGTGGAGCCCTTATAGGTCTTCATGATGCTTGAGGGCCCTCGAGCCCATCGTGGGGACCTCAGATGCCAGCGCGGCCCGTGGAGCCAACGTGGGAGCCCTCAAAGGATGTCGTGAGGGGCCTTAGAACCAATAATGGGGCCCACAGAGGCCGTCGTGAGGGCTCTCAGAGTCAGATGCCGCCCAAAAGTCGCTGTGTGGGCCGAGAGACCGGCATGGGGAGCACCCGACCGTACCGGACTCTCAATAGTCCCAGATCGGCTTTGTCTCTCATCACAAGTATGTAATAAATTATTTGACAGGCTGCTTGAAGGACAGCCTACGGATTTAGGGGGGCGTCTTTCCCCATCAGGACAGGGGGCATCTTACCCCAAGGCACCGAAGTAACATTAAATCAGCACAATTTGTTAGCCATAAAACTACACCCTGAAACAAACTGTTTGGGACACAGTACACGCATGTTAATGTATCACGACTATAGCAAGAAACGCAAAAATTATCTACCTTTTTTGATATTTACAATGTTTTGACGCCAAAATATTTTTTGAAAGCAGCAAATAAGAAACATACAATCACCAGCCAGCCGTTGCTCAACTGAGCTTCGCAAATTTTTGTGCAGTTAACAAGGCAGACTTCTGCTTTACGCTAAGAACATTAACCCTCGCATGTGTGCGGCGTTTGCCAGCTTCTAATGTGTAGGGGGGGGGGGTCGGTTGGACCCCCCCCTTGCCGTTTGGCCCCTGATCGAGCTAGAGCTTCGCGGAAAAAACGAGCGTGTTGCCCGTGACGAGAGGAAGCCGATGATACCCAATTTTAAGGTCCTAGGTCATTGGTTGACCTTCCAGGTCAGGTCAATGACCCAAAGTCGGGAAAATCGGGACCTGTTAGAAAGTCGTAAAGTGTGGCTGCTAAGCGGTTTTTCGGGGTGCTGATCACGAATATCGTGTTGCTGATCACGAATATCGTCACGACGCCTACTGGTTGACCTGACCTGACCTGACCCGACCTGGTCTAAATGCTTCAAGACATCATCTGTGATCAAAACTAACTAACACGAATATCGTGTTAGTTTTGATCACAGATGATGTCTTGAAGCATTTAGACCAGGTCGGGTCAGGTCAGGTCAGGTCAACCAGTAGGCGTCGTGACGGGTATTCGTAGTACGTGTCAACCGCCTCTGACAGCTTCGTAACATGTTACGAAGTCACCAAAACTACTTCGTAAATGTTCAAATGGTTGCTAAATTCGAATTCAGCTCCAAAAACTAGCCTAGAAACATGTAAAACTAGGAAAAGTGACCCGAGGTCACCCGAGGTCACCAAAGGTCAATGACCTGACCTGACCTTCAGGTGACCTTGACACACACGGGAGTAACATCAAATCACATGTTTGAACGTTTGAAACCACGAAAAGCTTGCAAACACGCGGCTAGTGCGAGCCGACATACGCGAAATCGCGATTCCGGCCAAACATGGTCTCGGAAAAGAGGTCACAGGTCAAAGGTCATTTGGGTCAGGGTCATGAAATTTTCAGGGTAGGTGTCAAATTGATCAATGCGAGGGTACTGAAAGTTTCGTCGCGATCGGCCGCTTTTTACGCGAGTTATTCGCGAAAAACCATGGGGGGGGTCCATCCGACCCCCCCCCTACACATGCGAGGGTTAATTTCCAGGTTCGATTCTTTGTTTCCCCGCTAGAGGGGGTGGGGCGTCTTTCCCACCCTGGGCATCTTACCCCACTCTCCCCTACCCGTAAAACATGTGTCATATGCCGCGAATGCCACTTTTGGTTTTCAGGGATACGTTCTTACCTGATTGACCTGAACTTGACCCGAACCTATGCTTGACTGACCCCTACACAGATCTGGCACTCATGTAGCACTTATATGAAGGATCGCAGACTATATGAAGGACGAGAGACGCCTGGTACGAGGTTCAAGTCCATGCTACTGAAAGCCCAATTTCAGGTGTTTGACCTGACCTTGACCCGACCTGTGACCTCGAAGCTCAACTATCATTTACTCATCCGAAGCGTCTCGTCGCGTTCTTTCGTTTGTCACCTCGTGCATTGCGCTGCGCCAATTGGTTCTCGAGTTCTCAGCTGGGAACGCTTAATTCCCGCGCATGACTGGGGGGGGGGGGGGGGGGGGCTTTACAGAGCCCCCTCCCATTTTTCTGCAATATCTTTTAAACCGCTCGACGTACCAACATGAATCTTGCAGTACCTTCAGCGGCATCAAATTAAAACTTTCTAGCTACCATTGGTGGGCCGGAAATGACGTCACAGTGACGTCAGGTCGGCTGATTTTGCTACAAAACATTGAACTACGGTAGGGGAGAGCGGGGAGAGTTGTATCATGTCCAAGTTGTATCAGGGCGAATTGTGCCAAACTTATCCAATGGATAGCGCTCGCGACACGACCAGCCGACGAGGTTTTCCGGGCGCCATCTTTCCCTGTTCTGTCTTGTGGCTGAGTGGAAGCGTCTCGAGGTGAGAGCCGATTTTATGTTTTTTTAATGTCATTCTAAAAAAATAAGTTGCAAGAAAATGTGTGTTTTGGGCATTTAGATGTGCACGAATTTGAAAGATCTCCGTAGCGGTGGTGAGGGTAGGTTCTAAGGCTGCGCGAGTGAAAACGGATTTCTCCAGCTGTCCGCTGTTTTTTTAGCACGAGGATGTTTTTTCCAAGATGGCGGCTAGGTTCATGTTGTATCAGAGCCGGGTGGGGTATGTTGTAACATGTATGTGTGTATGTATGTATGGGTATGTTGCTTTTGATCGCGAAAGCTAAGCCCTGGCTCGCGTTTGTAGGTAGCTAGTCAATGCTCGTTCCATTTCGGCACAATGTGTTGGCTTCTCTGCTCTTAACGGGCCACTTTTGCGTCTAGTCTGTTGATGTTTCGTTCGGATTGCATTGACCTAAGTTTGGTCTAATAAAGTGAAGCCTTTGAGCATACCTATACATTGTATTAACCCCATTTAATGTTGTTGTTATGTTCAAAACCAGAAGCAAGCACACTCCCTGAAACGTGAAATAGTGATACAAATTACCCCACCATGTGATACAACTCACCCAAGCCATGGGGCAAGTTGTATCAAAAACATTGTTCTATTCGGCAGACCGTAGAAGAAAAACTGGTAGAGGTAGCGGAAAAGTTACTTTGCACAAAAAAGCAGAAGAATCAAGGAAGGGGATAGTATGGAAATAATGAGTTTATCACGGATACTTACGAGGTTATGGGTCTCGGAGTAAAAACTGATACAACCCACCCCACTCTCCCCTAATGCCTCTCAAAGACTCAGTTTTTAAGCTACAACCGATTTCTTTGCACGAGTGGACTGAGAATACACGTGGCTATCAAAATGCTATTTCGGACTAAAAAAAAAATTGAAAATTTTGTAAATAATACGTATAAAACTACATGAGAATAATTTTTTGATTTAAAAACCTTTTGACTTTTCGAGAAAAAAAAAACAAACAGAAATACATGTAATAGTACACCCACCAATTACTTACTCCAGAACGTTTTAGCCCAATGTCTTCAAAAATAGCTGAGTTACACGCATTATAGTCAAAATTTCGCAATTTTAGATTTTTCATTTTTTTTCAAAATAGGCCTAATCCGACGTGTTATCCGGCGGCGAGAGTCTTAATTGTGAACAAGCCAAAATGCTGATAATTCTTACTTTGACCTGACCTGTGACGTCATCGGTGACCTTGAGGTCAATGAAATTAGATTTCGCTCGACAGAACAGCGATGTTCGAAAACATGTTCTACTTAAGCCAGCCTGCCTCGTCACCGCCACCCCTCACTACAAACACTTAAACGGTCGTTACATAACATTCGTATAAATATTAGGACTGTATGGTATAACATTAACAGTGCAACATATCTCACCTTTTAGCTAAAAGCCCTTAAAATATCATTTTTGCTCTATAACTTTAACAATATACAATTTTTGTTAGCCTTAACTTTTTGCTGGCGTTACCTTAGCTGCCACGCTGAAAGGACAAACAGTTGAGCATTTTATTGTGAATAATTTAGCCGGAAACGGGGTCGCTGGGCTTCCCCCGCGCCCGGACTTCCCCCGGCTTCCCCTACTTTCCATTTATTCCTATTGCCCGTCTCTTGCCGCACTTGTGCAATTACCTAAAGCGATCCGATGGACTTAAAATCTAAATATGGACTGAAAAATTAAAAAGATATCAAAATTAGGCTTCGTTGTGTCCTACATGAACAGTGCTGATATCTTCCGTACCCTAGAGAGGTAGCTCAGGTTGGGATTTTCAATAGAAAATCACAATTCTTAAGGATAGTGATTGTCTTAATTGAAAAGTCCCAACCTTCGGATACTCCGTATTCGCTTGTTGGGTTTCTCATTAAACATTCAATCGCTGAAAACCGTCTGCCCAGCTTGTCTGATAAGTGATTATCTCACAGAGTTCGTTCTCAAGAAAGAAAAAAAGATAAATTTCACTTTGTTTCATGCAAAATTATTTACAATGCAGTTCGTCAGAGCTTTACAAATACTCATGTAAATAGAGTCATGTACAAATTACTATGTATTATGATTTATCAAACACACTTCCATTCTTCACAAATATCATATCGGTAGGTAATTGTTTTGCCAGCACATAATCATTGGCGAACATAATGTCCTTGATGGGCTTCTCGAACTCTGGATTGAACGACCCGTTGGGGAAGACGGTCCCCGGAGTAACGTACTCGACCATCACCATCTGCAAAAGGGGGCCACCGTGAGGACAAACTGTCCAACAAATACATCATGGGGGGGGCACGGCGAGGACGAATTGTCCAACAAATACAACAGGGGGCCACCGTGAGGACAAACTCCAACAAATACATCATGGGGGGGGGGGGCACGGCGAGGATGAACTGTCCAACAAATAGGTACAACAGGGGGCCACCGTGAGGACAACCTGTCCAACAAGTACATCAGGGGGCTACGGCGAGGATGAACTGTCCAACAAATAGGTACAACAGGGGGCCATCGTGAGGACAAACTGTCCAACAAATACATCATGGGGGGCACGGCGAGGACGAACTGTCCAACAAATAGGTACAACAGGGGGCCACCGTGAGGACAAACTGTCCAACAAATACAACGGGGGGGGGGGGCACGGCGAGGATGAATTGTCCAACAAATAGGTACAACAGGGGGCCACCGTGAGGACATGCTGTTCAATAAATACAACAGGGGGCCACCGTGAGGACAACCTGTCCAACAAGTACATCAGGGGGCCACGGCGAGGATGAACTGTCCAACAAATAGGTACAACAGGGGGCCACCGTGAGGACAAACTGTCCAACAAATACATCATGGGGGGGGCACGGCGAGGATGAATTGTCCAACAAATAGGTACAACAGGGGGCCACCGTGAGGACATGCTGTCCAACAAATACATCATGGGGGGGGGCACGGCGAGGACGAACTGTCCAACAAATAGGTACAACAGGGAGCCACCATGAGGACAAACTGTCCAACAAATACAACGGGGGGGGGGGGGCACGGCGAGGATGAATTGTCCAACAAATAGGTACAACAGGGGGCCACCGTGAGGACATGCTGTTCAATAAATACAACAGGGGGCCACCGTGAGGACAACCTGTCCAACAAGTACATCAGGGGGCCACGGCGAGGATGAACTGTCCAACAAATAGGTACAACAGGGGGCCACCGTGAGGACAAACTGTCCAACAAATACATCATGGGGGGGGGGGCACGGCGAGGATGAATTGTCCAACAAATAGGTACAACAGGGGGCCACCGTGAGGACATGCTGTCCAACAAATACATCATGGCGGGGGGGGGGGGCACGGCGAGGACGAACTGTCCAACAAATAGGTACAACAGGGGGCCACCGTAAGGACAAACTGTCCAACAAATACAACGGGGGGGGGGGGGGGCACGGCGAGGATGAATTGTCCAACAAATAGGTACAACAGGGGGCCACCGTGAGGACATGCTGTTCAATAAATACAACAGGGGGCCACCGTGAGGACAACCTGTCCAACAAGTACATCAGGGGGCCACGGCGAGGATGAACTGTCCAACAAATAGGTACAACAGGGGGCCACCATGAGGACAAACTGTCCAACAAATACATCATGGGGGGGGGGCACGGCGAGGATGAATTGTCCAACAAATAGGTACAACAGGGGGCCACCGTGAGGACATGCTGTCCAACAAATACATCATGGGGGGGCACGGCGAGGACGAATTGTCCAACAAATACAACAGGGGGCCACCGTGAGGACAAACTGTCCAACAAGTACATCAGGGGGCCACGGCGAGGACGGACTGTCCAACAAATAGGTACAACAGGGGGCCACCGTTAGGACAAACTGTCCAACGAATACATCATGGGGGGGCACGGCGAGGATGAACTGTCCAACAAGTACAACAGGGGGCCACCGTGAGGACAACCTGTCCAACAAGTACATCAGGGGGCCACGGCGAGGACGGACTGTCCAACAAATACAACAGGGGGCCACCGTGAGGACAACCTGTCCAACAAGTACATCAGGGGGCCACGGCGAGGACGGACTGTCCAACAAATACAACAGGGGGCCACCGTGAGGACAACCTGTCCAACAAGTACATCAGGGGGCCACCGTGAGGACAAACTGTCCAACAAGTACATCAGGGGGCCACGGCGAGGGCAAGCTGTCCAACAGATACAACAGGGGTGGTGATGAGGACAATACGGCCACCTATCTAAGGCCATCTACAATGCCACACACAATTCCGCCGCAGCAGCCGAGCCCGACGTACTCGCATGTACGGAGCCGACTCAGCTAGCTAATCATAGTTATTAGACAATTGATCTCTACTAGTGATGTCAATTACGGAAAATCTGAATACCGATACCAAACCAAATACCAACTAAAACCATGGGGAAATACCGAAACCAAACCAACTTGGAAAAATGGGGGAAATACCAACTTTTTACCGATTTCTTAGCCTTTTATACATTATTGAGGGTTCATGATACCCATAAAATACCAAACACATTACGATTGAAATACCAAATGCCAAGTTGGTATCGGTTTGGTATCAGTATACCAAAAAGTTGGTATCCGATTGACATCTCTGATCTCTACCATCACAGTCATGTCGCCTACCAAGATCAAATCAAATTTACATATATTAGCCGCTTTCACGACGGCTATCTGGTACACATTTGGTGTATATTTTGTGCACATTTGGTGCACATTTGGGGCAGATTTGGTCAAATTAGATTCATTCTACCTATTTCTCAGAAGTTATCAGCTTCCATTACACAGTTCCTTAATTCTTATATACCTGCTTTTCAAATCATCATGCATTATTTTGGATTCAAACACTGAAATTAGTGATATGAATATATGTGTTGTAAAAGAACTTTGGTGCAGATTTGGTCACATTTGGTACATTCTCCAGATAGCCCGTCGTGAAAACAGCTAATAGATGACACTGAAGTCTTCAGACTGCGTTTTATATCCATTTTACATCACTAAGTACCTTTATATCGACCTTTTTCCATGGCAAGCTCTTGAGAACGAGGTGATCAATGCCCTCGATATCCAGACTGAGAAAGTCCAACGAAGTCAGTCCCGCAGCCGCCAAAATCGAGTAGAGCGGGTAACACTGCTTCAGACGCATTTTGTCATCCAAGTCTTCTCTGGTAAACCCGGGGAACACATATGATATTAATGTACCCGGGATATGTTCAAACGCCAGCTGTGGAGGGGTAGAGTATTGTTACCAGCAGAACACCCTTTCTGTTCAGCAAATTATACCTCGGTTACATCCAAACAAAAAGCAGGTACCGTTTTGTCCGTTTTGCCCAAGGTTCCGTTGGACATGCTTACAGTCGAGTGAAATGGTCATGCAGCAAAGTCCAAATCCTGTGCAAAACCGCTGAACCAATGCTTGGTTCAGCGGTCACCGAGCTGCCGCTGCGGTCAGCTCGGTGCGCCACTCGCCTGCTGCGGGTATGGCGTCGGTGCGAGGCAGGCGTTCAGGAGGCGGGCCCTCCTGTGCTTGGCCAGCAGGCGCTGATAGTTGGTGTCCTCCGCTTCCACAAGCACCCCGGTCCAATTCTGATGGCAAGACCGAGCCGCATTGAGTAGGCACCCATCAGCGGCCATCTGTGCTCTGGTAAAGATAGTCAAAGAGAAATCAGACAACAAAATATTAAAATCCCTCCAAAAACTATTTTTGGCTATATCTCCATACAGAGGTATCACAATATACTTTCCAGTCTGCTCATACAGATTACAGGGTGATCCAAAAAAAATTGGAACCCCTAACTTAAAATGTCTGTAAATCAGAAAATTTTCACTTTATTGACAAATTGCAAACACCATTAGAAAGAGCGTTCAATTATCTATAAAACCAAGTTGGTTGTAGTTAATTATTACTATAAATATTGCCCTAGACATATGCCTATAAAATTTGTGTCACGAAACTCAGTGAAACGGTTTTGAACATTATGCGCAAATCAATGATTGACGTTGCTGTTCTGAACATGTCGCTTGTTGGAGGTTCATAAATAAAAATAGCTCATTCACGTGCTATTGCAAGGAAAGGAAAGGCTGACGGCCTGCTGGGACCAGTTGTCCCAGAGACTGCTGACCCGCGCAGTCGGACTCGGAGCTGTCCCCAAGCAACTGCAGGCCTGCGTGACGGCCCACGGAGCTCGCGTTGAGCACATGCTGGGATGAACAGCGGAAGCTAGGACGCGTGTAACTATTCTACTGTGTGCTTCTGTGTAAACTTTTATTTAATAAAATTGAATTTGGATGTGGTTTTATTCGCAAAAAGACAACAGATAGAGTGCTAACAGATTTCAGCGCATTGTTAACATTTGGCGATTTCGTTTCACTCAGTTTTCTGACGCTCATTCCAAAAGCTAATAGTGCGCCAATGCTTTACAAACATACATGCACCAATTTGACGTGATTTTATAGAGAATTTAATGCTCTTTCTAATGGTGTTCGCAATTTGTCAATTAAGTGAATACTTTCGCACTTATATACATTTTAAGTTAGGGGTTCCAAATTTTTTGGATCACCCTGTATAATGATCATATAACTACAGTGTAGGTCTTATGGAAGTAGGTCTTACGGAAGAGGGGATGTTTCCTCAGAGCCTTGCCAGTTCCGAGAAATACATAGCCCGGTGAAGGACCGCTCCGGTTGTTTTTCAAAAGAAAAACACAATTCTAACGAATAGTGTTTGTCTAATGAAGAAACAACCTGCGGTTATCGGTGAGGTGTTTTACCACGGTGGGGCGACTTGCCCCGGTGTGCCCTAATCAAGTGCTGGTGACATTGGGATTTGGCTCATGTCCACTGGACACAGAGGCGCCACACAGGCGCCATCAAATCAAATGCTGTTTATGCAACCGTCCATTGCGCAGTTTTGCACCGATTCCTTTCGACCTGTAAGCATAGTCTACACTCACCTATTTTCATAGCGCATTTCAATTTCGAATTTAGCAATTATTTGAACATTTACGAAGTAGTTTTGGTGCGTTCGTAACACATTACGAAGCTTTCAGTGGTGGTTGACAGTGACACCTACTATGAATACCCGGCAGGACGCCTACTGGTTGCCCTGACCTGACCTAACCCGATCTGACCTAAATGCATGAAGACATTATCTGTGATCAAAACTAACATGAAATTCGTGATCAGCACCCCGAGAAACCCTGAACATGCTCGCTTTACGACGTTCTGAGTTCTGACAGGTCCCAATTTTCCCGACTTTTGGGTCATTGACCTGACCTGGAAGGCCGTGCAATGACCTAGGACCTAAAAGCTGGATAGGTATCCTGGGCTTCCTCTCGCCACGTGCAACACGCTCGTTTTCTTTTCGCGAAGCTCTAGCTCGATTAGGGGCCGAACGTAAAGTGAGGGGGTCCAACGGATCCCCCTCCCCTATACGTTCGCCGTTCGCGGCTGGCAAAGCACCAATATACGGGCGAGGGTTAAATTAAAAGTGCCACAGATGTTGCGCGCAAGGCAGCATATAGGTACCTACCACCAAACCAACAATTATCTTTTACCAAGATTTAGTAAAATATTAAAAAATCTGAAAACTGCAGGCTTCGAAATAAAATATCGCCGAGTTAAAGCATTTCTCGATGTTGTGAGTGGCCAAACCGGTAATTGCACGCCAGGGACCCCAATTTTGCTACCTCAACTTAAAACTAATAGTTGGGATACAAAATTAATAGTAAAACCTTCCAGACGGTGGGGGATTTTTGTCCCCCCTTTAGTTTTTTTTTTGTATATCTCAAGAACCGCTGCGCCGATCGTCACCAAACTTTCAGTACCCTCCCGTGAATAGCTTTTACACATTGTGACCAAATATTTTTCCAAATATTAAAAAAAGATAGGCCGGCCGCTCATGACGTCGGTGTGACGTCATTTCTACCATTTTTGACCCAAAAAAAGGTTTCGCAGGAAAAGCTGTCAGGCCTACAGCTTTAGAGATACAGAAGAATGTTTTGGCCATATATGGTGTAAAATTACCAGAGCTATAAAACTGCTATCTCGGATTTTTGAAATTTCTGAATTTTGACTCTCCAAATTTTTTTTTTTAAATATCATAGCCGAAAAATCCTAACAAGTTTTTGAACTTCGAAAAAAACGGAATATTTGTAATAGTCCCTACCGTCTTCTATCCACATACCAAATTTGAGATCGATACCTCTATTTTTGGCCAAGTTATAGCGAAAAAACTGTTCAAAACTGATGCCGTCAAATTTTCAAACTCAATTTTTAGCAACTCTAGACCATGTAGCACACAACAAAGACCACCATTAGACTCGCTGTGACGGGCTGCATCGAATCAATGCCCATTTTATGCAAAATTATTAACTTTGACATGTGACTTTTTGACCTGACCTTGACCTGACCTACACCAGAAAGTGACCTAAACCGTACCAGATGGTCTTATAACCAACACGGAACACCATTGAGCTGGAAATGAAAAAAAAAAAATTGGCCATAAAACATGCATCGCACAACCCGAGTAAAGCTGGGTTCATGTGCTGACCCTTGGTGACCTGACCTGTGAGCTGACCTGGTTTATCAGTGACCTCTAATAGCAACATATGTACTAGGCAACTAACGCCCTATCGCTGATTTTCGACAAAATGCGTTTTACTCGATGTTATAGCGCATTCCCTAGAAGATCCGTGAACGGTGAAACATTTTATCTTTGACCTGACCTGTGACGTCATCGGTGACCCCGAGGTCAATGAAATTGAAGTTCCCTAGACAAATTTGACAGGGCTATCGAATGCCGTTTGAATTTTACGGATCTGTCCAGTAGTTTCGGAGATACGGGGGGGGGGGGCAAAAAATCCCCCCCCCCACCGCGCGGAAGGTGGCCGAGAGGCCCACCGCCTGCCGGGTTAGGGTGGGATTGTCAGGTTAACCCTCGCCCTGGCAGGGGGGGGGGGTCGATGCGACCCCCCCCCCTAAGGTTTTTCGAAGATAGCGTAAAAACGGCGGCGCGCAGCGCCGCCAAATTTGGCACAGCTTATGGGGCAACCTTTTTACATATGACCTGAAAATTTCAGGTCCGGGTGACCTTGGGTCAGGTCACCAGGTCAGCAAAACCGGTACAAGGTCATGGTCAAATTTCAATTTTCTTTTTGCACCTGTCCAACTCACAGTTTTGCACTGATTTCCTTCAAACTTTCAGGATGTGCTAAGTTCACCGAGTTGTATAACATATAGTTCGGGTTTTTTTAGGTCACTGACCTGAGGTCAGTTAGAGGTCATTACGTCGTAATGTTAAGCCTATGGGAAAATACTAAATTCGGAAAATACTGGAGATATCCGCTTCGTTCTATCATTTTTGTGCTTTGAAACCACAGTACTTAACAGCAGGTCACTTGGTGCTTCTTTGTTTGGTGTACTTATCCATGGGTCATGTCAAATGAGGTCAACTGAGGTCAAATGACTTTTTGCCAATAACTTGGCACATAATGACGCTAGAGCTTAAAAAATGGTATCATTGTGTTCCTGGTGATCAGCCGAATCGAATGATATGCGATATGATGCAGTTTGGTTAACTTTAACTTAATTTATTAATTTAAGTTTACTTAAAATTTAAGAAAAACTTTGAGTACACTTAAGCAAGCTAAAAAGTATATCATTCGACGCGCCTTGATGTGCTGAGTTCACTGGTGCTTTTCTTTTTGCTCTATCTTAATTAGATCAAAAGTTATAAGCGAAAAACTTTTGACCTGTTTTTAGCGAAATTTTTGCATTTATACCCCCCAAAACCCCCCTAAATATTGACCTAGAGCAACCAAATTTGCACAGGGGCGAGAACTCCAGGGGGCCCACCTACCTACCAAATTTGGTGTTTCTAGGTGCCATAGGAGCCAATCGCGAGGGGGGGGGTCGCATCGACCCCCCCCCCTGCCAGGCCGTGTTATGGAAAATGCCCTGCCAGGGCGAGGGTTAATTATTGATGTATTGACAATAGGTAATAAAAAAAAACGACAAGAACGATATAGCCTTTTATCTATATTGTACGCTCACATATTTTTTTTTCGTGAACTTTTAACCCGCGCCGGGCCGGGGGGGGGGGGTGTGGGTTAAACACCCCCCCCCCCTGTGGTTTTTCGCAGATAGCCGTTTTTGGCACACCTGCTCGTGCATCTTTTCCGCACATGTTGTCAAAATTTAAGACCCAGGTCGCCTTAGGTCAGGTCACCAGGTCACGCCAAGTGACCTCACCTTAGAAAAAATAAGAATGCTCGTCAGAGCTACACCGATCGATCGATTGTCTTGAAACTTTCAGCGATTGATTAGAGCAACATTATCTATAAAATGTTAATCTCGGAATTTTGATATCGGTGACCTAAGGTCAGGTCAATTTTGAGGCCTCTCCATTATACCTAAGTCAATGGGAGAAAATTGAAAAGCGTCTGTTTCGCACGAACGCTATTCTAGACACTCTCAAATATCGAGATGTAGGTAAAATTGACACACTGAACCGGAAAATGGCAACTGTGACCCCTCGTTATGTCCCCGAGGTCATCTCAGGTCACGAACAGAATCTAAGAGTTTTT